TGTCTGATTGAGTCCCCTGGCAGTGCCCAACAGGGGAGACACTGACGGGGGGAAATGGAGATTTCAGCGGTATCCTGTAAATTGGTGTCATCACCTGGAAAGGTCCAGGGATCGGTCACCCACTGTCTCCAAACCGGACTACACCGGTGCAATCTGTGTGCGACAGGGATATGTGGCCATGGGATCGGCAGTTGGGGGGGGGCCTCCCTTCCCCCATGAGCTGAGTTCCCCAAGGCCTGAAGTAGTCACTAAGTTGTGACCTGGCCACTCACCGAACTCATGCCTGTCCCCCTGGTTGCAGAGGTGAGCGTCAAACACGCTTCCCCCGCTGACGGGTAGACGTCCGCCCAGGGAGGGTGAGGAGCCACAACCTAGCTCTTTCATCCCTGGGGGCGCGCCACTACTCTTCCCTCCCATGAAGGGTATGAGTGCTTGCCTCCTGGCTGACTCTGGCTAGCAGACGACGCCCTAGGGCATTGTGTTTTCTGTGCTTGGGGTGCCCTTCGCTTGCCCTTGGCAGGGTCAACTGGCTAGCGGATTCGATCTAAACCCTCTGGTTCATTGCACTCTCAAGCTCCAAGACTGTACCCACCATTCCCTGAACAAAGAAGGTGGAGGATGTCCAATCTGCGTCACTGAGGTGGGGACGTACCCTGACTCAGCTTGTCAGCGAAAACACGTGCGTCTAAGGCCGCGTCTCGTAGCACAGTAGTGGCCCCGGCCAAGAGAGCTAGGTGACACTTGGGGGTATCGCACGTAGATGTGCGATGGCCCACCAGAAAAATGTCGCCTGGTCTAGGAGGCTGGCGCTGCCTCCAAGACCTTCAAGGTCTCGATTGTGCGTGCACAATAATGCGCTCAAGCAACTCTGCCCTCAGGGCTGGATGGGTCGTCTTCGATTGGCAAGGACGCCCATGGAACGCGGCTGTCCCCCTTTGCCCGGTTTGCCAAATTCGTGGTACCGGGGTCTGGGGAAGGAGCCTCGGAATCCGGTTGGGAGCGTTTTGGTCTCATCCCACGCTATGGGGTCTGATCCCGAAACCACACCGACCAGGTAGCGTTTGGTCCAGCGGGAAGTGTTGCCTAATGTTTTCCCCACCCGGGGGCCTTAAGCGTTACATCCTCCGCGGCTGATCAACGCCGCCCCCATCAACACCGTTTGCGTGCTCTGCGCCCCACTCCGCACTTGGACGGACAGGGAGAGACGTGCCGACGGGGATGCTTTGGATCCTGGCACTTGTGATCCCATAAGCATTGAAGCAACCTTAGGTGGTCGCCTTAGGATCAAGGGTGGGGGTATTTACATCAAATCACTGGGATCGATGATACTCCGCATCACCCCAAAGCGTGGCTCACCGAGTCATACGAATGGAAGACTCTGAGGGACCGCCCGGAGTACCGTCTGTATCCGACACAAGCGAACTGCGTCTCCTTTCACTTTATCTTATCACTTCACTTTTCCTTAAATATGTGAGAGAGAGTGTGTTCAAGTCAAAACACACAGCGGAGACCAGACACAAGGATAAATTCGTTACCGTTGTACCGTTACCGCGTGACGAACCCTAGCTGGCTGAACGTAGGGGGGGGGGTCAACGTGTGCCCTGCCCCGAGATCGGAGGCTTGGCTGCCAGCACCCCATTGGCATTCAGTGCCCGAGGCTCCAGAGGAGGCCCGGTGCAATTAGCCTGAGCCTCGGCATCCCCCAAAAATAATGGGAGAGCCACGGCTGGGAACGGGGGTTCCCCAGAAGAGGCGTGTTTGAATGCAAACATGCTTTTGTGTTTCTTCCTGCTTGCCCACCGAGGGGACACAGTGGAGACAGCTCGCTCCGACTATGTCAGATCTATCCGGCCTGCCAGGGACGCAATTGCCCCGACATTCCTTCGACAAATGCCCTCAACTCGGAGGCAAACCCGCCGCCGTGCGAGGAAGGCTCCACAAAGGGATTCGCAACGGGCCCCATAGGAGGAAAGCCTCCAGGGCCACAGCCTTGCTGCAGCCGGTAAAATCGGGTGGGCCACCGCCTGAAAAAACAGACTGTGAGGATGTCCTCTGATCAGCGGAGGAGACCGAGAAAACTATCGGTACCTCCACCATCGGGCCTCCTACTCGACGTCCCGGTACATGAAGCACCGGTAGCCGAGTGTGAGGACTTTCCACTCATGCAAAACACGCAACTCACTTTAACCGATTTGTTTACTGGACGCGCGACCTTGCTGTGACGCGGTCAGTCTCAGTGATTTTGATGGCTCTGAAAGAAAATCTCAGGCCTCAGAACTCCAGTGAAAAAACACACACCTTCACGCAAAAACCCCGAACCCTGCATGCAGCTACAACAAAATATCTCGGATGCGGGTTCTATGCTGGTAAATTCTGAATATAACCACTGCACAGTCGACTGGAAAAACGAGGAGACCGAAAAGAAAACAGCAGTGAACCCTGGTGCTGTCATTACATCTATATATTGCTAAATACATTGTAAATAAAGGACGACATGCATGAGGGAAAAACGAAATACAGTTGTAAAAGGTGCCGCCGCGAAACCAGCAAGTGGTTACGTAGTGGCGCCGGGTTTTAATTTCTTTGTTGTGAAAAATACTACACACAAAGGGGAAAACGACACGAGGGTAAAAATGACAAGGAAAACTTATCCTACCAGCTACAATGTCGGATGCTGTGCAGCGGCAACAACCCACGCTAGAACTCGGACAGGGAAAAGCAACAGAGCCAGGCAGAGCCGCTCAGAATCATTCCCGACGAGGCGGAGATGAAAGAAGAGGGAGTGTACGGCTGCCTATGGCGTTGCCATGTGGCCTCGGTCACGTGAGTTCGTGACGTAAGGAGTGAAAGAATCTTGGAGTCATGGGGCTTCTCCTGACCTAGATTCTATCTCTCCATCACCGGCAGAATCGCTGATTAATGCCTACAGTTCAAAATAGTCATTTTGACTGACCGGAGTCGATGGTGGGTAATTGAACGTAGTGAATTTACTTTTACCTTTGAGGAATGACTCTTTTGTTTCTTTGGTGGTAAAACCATTGGTGGTGGCAACCCAGGGTAGGGCTTGCCTTTGATGAATCCCTCAGGCATGTATTTTGGTGTGTGTGATATAATACTTGTACTGGAGCTCTCATCAGCTCCGTTTGGCATTGATGGGGGCGTGGAGAGAGTAGCTTCACCAGGAATTATTCCAACCTACAAGATTTGAAACAAGCAATAATGAAATATCTGAGACTAAGAAGTAATGAAAAAAACACCAAATTAAGCTGTCTGCATGGTAAATATAAACGCAATTAGGCCTACAGTCGATTAATAACACTATACTACTAAAACTAAAAACTGAAGAAA